CCAATACTTAGACAGGCAAGTTTTAGGCCATGAAAAAAGATTTATCATTAGTAATTGGGAAAATGAGTTAAAAGTTGATGTGGGAAATATTAAAAAATTGCCTTTAATTCAAAACAGGCATGTTCCTAAAAAAAAAAAGACAAAATGAAAGGTCAAACTTAACTGGATTACAAAAGGGGCAAATCAGTAATAAGTGCCACAAGTCTCAAGTTTAAATTCACAGATAATTTGAAAAAATTACAAAACTATGGGAAAGCAAGAGATTTGGTTAAAGAAAAAATCATGAAATCAAACTAGGTTTAGAAAAGTAGATGACTGATGATGCTTACATTACATAGCAAGTTACTAAAGGTAAACAAAACATTAAAATTGGGATTGCCCTTTAAAAGCTACTGATGGCAATTTTCTTGAAGACTGAGACTGTTAAGCTTTTAAATGCTCTCTTTCATTTTTATAGGCAACAATATTAGCATCCTATTTCATTGTGAAAAGCATGAAGCACATAATGTCCCCCTTGCTTCAGTCCCCTATGTTTTTTGTCGAGTGGTAAGAGTATTCACTTGTCACCTGTATGCTCTCGGGTTGTGTTTTCATCATTATATAGACGACTGGCTTCTATTATTACTCATTGTTTAGATCCCGCTCTGTGGTGAGTGGTGCCTGATCAGGTATTCTTTAACTATTCAAATCTGCAATGTCAAACCATGTTGACTTGGATATTATAATTCCATGGCCATGCAACACACACTGTAGAGATGGAGTGTTCTGTCAGATTGCCTGTAGGTTTATCCTCATGAGAGAATTGCTTCATAAGTTTGCCTGTCCAAGACCGTACCAACCCATGGACTATATGGGTAAAGCAGAAGGGGATAGCTGCCTATCCGTGCCATGCATTGTATTGAATAAATTGGTATGGTCTGCTTTTTTAAAAAATAGGGTTTTGTGGTCACACATTGCACTGTCTCTGGTGTTTTCATTCCTCTGAACTCTCCACTGCATTTTACCCCTCTTCTAGTGGAGCTTGAGAGTTTTTATTACTTTCCAGTTCCCAGTCACTGAGGTGGTGGACAGTGGAGGCGTCCTCCTAAATGGGTTAATGAAATACAAACAAAATATAGAAATAATTATGCAACCATTCTGTTGAGAGTAGAGTGGTGGTGTTGTGCTGGTGTAGATGATGCGATATTCTCCTGTATGGAACATAAAAACAAATGGGAGTGAAACGTCAAAATTGCAGTTCACCCCTTCAGTTATGATCCCTCATCCTACCCCCCATGTGGATGTTGGTTCCCAGTTGCCAGGTTTTGGATTTAGAGTGGAACCAATCAACATAAGTCCTCACACATGTATTACAAATGTCTATATTCCTCCCTCATTTATACTCCATCAGTGTTGTGGGTCACGGTGGGGGTAATTGTGGATTGCTACAGTTCTTTTCCTTCTGCTATCCTTCAGTGTTTCTTATTCTGAGGATGTTATTGTGCTTGGAGTGGTTCCAGTCAATTTCACTTTTGAGGGAGATAGTTTAATTTATGCAACTGTCTTTTCAATAGTGGATGTCAGGTTCATCAATTTATAATATTCACATGTGCCCCATTCATGAGTTGGGGGGGGGGGGTACTAGATTCCCTCCAGTCTCATGAACATAAGGTGAAGACGGTATGATTTTTTTTTCTTACCACCATTAGATGGCAGGGTTTTAGATTGTAGATGATTTGCCACTGGTATGATCCTCTTTCCTGCCACCACATGGATGTTGATTCCCAGCAGCATGGGTTTTAGATGTAGTTGACTTGCCATGTACAGTCCGTTGCGCCCTAGCCACTCTACACCTAGGGGCATATCCTTTTCATTTTACCCTATTTTATAATTTTTGGGATTGAGTTTCATAAATATTGCATTGTTTGGATCACTTTCCGGTTATAGTTCTCTCCCAGTTGAATGCCCTCCTCTGTTTTCTGCCCATATATGCGACATCTTTCCATGATGGACAAAGAGTATACCTGGTTGAGATGTGTTCTGTCTCCCTCATCAGAACTAAAAATCTGACCATCTAATTTTAAGGAGTGTCCTTTGGATGCTTCTTTATTTCCCTCGCTCCAGTCTTTCCACCTATTTAATGTGGGATTCTAGCTATTTGTGTGAGAAGAGATAATGTACGTATCGGACGTTATAATTTTCCTACACTGAAAATGTATTTCTGATAAGTACTTACCTTCTTTCCCACTTCCCACCCTTCCTCCCCACTGAAAACTGGTGCTTCCATTTTCTGCCAAAACTCAAAGTGATAGTTCGGTAGATTTGAATAGAGGGAGTCACATGCATAATGAGAGTATGTTGCACTCTTATTGATGGAGGGTTGTCCAATGATGATTTGCATGAGAGATGCATTGGAATTAATCAATTCCAATGGAAGGAAAAAAAAAAGGCTTGTGTGATGCTTAAAAATATTTTTGCATATAGTGGACGACACTGAATGAGAATAGCTATTTATGTGAGAAGAGATAATGTTCCATATTGGAATTTTTTTTTATCACACATGTAGCTCATTTCTACTTTAATTTCTTTCCCTTACAAGAAGCAGATCTTTGACAAGTACAACTGCCTGTAAACTAGTACAAAATTCAATAACAACTCTGTTGTAAGAATCTTTACTTGAACAGTGTAATTCTTGCCTTATTCGGTAAGACAAAAAAAAAAAAAAAAAAAATTACCTCCAGAACAAGTAGAATTTATGAAAGATTAGACATTTACAAGAAGCTTAATAAGTTATGATATGTGTATTACTAGTTCCACAATAATTCAAACCAGTATTCAGACAAGAGGAATTTTAAAAAAAGAAACAATTCTTTATGATTTCTTAGTTTTTTAATGCTTAAGTGATACTTAGAGGGTGGACATTTTAGTACTTCTTTTATATGATCTTTCAATGAGACAACTAACTTCAAAAAAAAAAAAAAAAAAAAAAC